TGAAATGATTCTAAGACATCTTGGGATGACTGATGATGAAATAGAAATAGCAAATAAATTTGCTACATTTAAGAAACATGTAGAAAATATAGTACACATTTGCAACAAAAATGTACTTGAAAATGTAACAACTGTTAACCAATGTAATTCGTTTGTTCTGCCAGAGGCCTTGACATCCTTGAAATAATAAGTATGAATAGTAAAAAATCTCCAGATATTGATGAAATTAGTGTTGAATACCTCAAAAATAATAAAGATGAAATGGCAAACTACTGAATGAAATTAATAAATCTCAGTATAAATAGAGTATCTCCAAATAGTCTCAAAAATGCTATAATCCCTCCCACACACAAAGGAGAACAACACAATATTTGTAATAACTACAGGCCAAAATAAAAACTTCCCACGATAGGAAAACTAATAGAAAAATATATGGCAAATGGATTAACAAACTACCTTACAAAATATAAAATAATAGATGAGAACCAGTGTGATCAGTAAAATAATAGCAAAATATAGGTACAACAAATCTAGAAAACCTGTCAGAAATTATAAATGAAAATTTAGACAAAGGAAGACATGTTACTGCAATGTCAATGGACTTCTCAAAAAGGACGATGGAAGCTTTAGAACGAATTGGAGTCAGGGGAAATATACAAACAATTTGAAAGTTACCTAAATAATAGAAGTTACATGGTCAAAATTAATTAATCATCCAGCAAGGAAACAGAACTTCATCATGGAATTTTACAAGGAAGCTACCTTGGACCAATCCTATACCTAATCTATGTAAATGATATAAGAACGTGCTTCAAAAAATGTAAATATTCCACATATGCAGATGACAAGCTAATTATATCAACAAATAAGGCTCCTAAAAATCAGAAGAAAATTTACTAAACCAATTCAGAAAATTTCAGTATTGGAGCCTACACAAGGCACATAAATGAAATATAAAACAAAAACTATACATATACAACCACTCTGCGTATAATAAGAATAGAACCCAGAATTATAAGCCATAACACCAAATGTATACACAAAATAGAAAGTACCAGCAAATGAAATAAAAAACTTAGAAACAGAAGACACAATAAAATACACTGGCCCAACAATTGACAAAAATTACTCCTGGAAACCTCATATATTAAGATTTGCAAACAAATTAAGAACATGCCTTTAGAAAATACTTCCAACACACAACTATTTTGCATATTCAGTTTTGAAAATTACATACTTCTGCTCAGTAGAATCCATAAGAAGGTATCGAATAGAAATTTGGTGGACAGCAGCAAGATCGTATATACAAATATTGCACAGAACACCAAGAAAAAAATTATCAAATACCTTACATATAAAAGAATAGTACTGATGACAAAAAACAATGTAAATTTGAAGTATATGGCATCATGACCATCAATAAAATATAAGAGTATCAACTTATAAAAAAACATCTTGATAATAAAAAATTCAGGCACAAAATCATTCATAAATATGGAACCCATTTACAAGAGAGCTACTACTTTTAACAAATATGGAGTAAGAACCCTAAAAGTAAACATTCCAAAATTAAAAAATGTAAGTAGTATTTTATCGACATTCAGATAAGGGTTATTAAATTTTGTTGTATGCATATTAAAATCTGTAATATTACAAATGATAATATGACATTGATTATGTATCATGAATTTTGTATTTGATTTGCATCTGAAAATGTAATTACCATGTCTCTGACAAGTATATGATGTACTTGGAGAGTGCAAAATTGTAAAAACAAAAGAAGTGAATAAACCATCATTATTTTAATATTATTATAATGATAATAATTATTATTATTGCAAGACAAATTGATGATTTACTGACATCATACATGAAAGCAATGGTATGATTCTGGCTTCCACTACCTAACCTATGCAAGATTATACACAACTTCTTTTGGGGAAAGAGCACCACCCTTTCTTGTTGGTGAATTGCCACCCCTATTTTCAGTAATAATCTTTCTGCATTATGTGGGGACATTTGAAGCTTTGAAGAAATTCAAACAGATTGAAAGTTGAAATTGATCCATTGTCAATACACTTTTTGCCTTCTAGGTTGTCTAAGAATGTTTCCTCATCTGCAGAATTAAAAAGAATTTTCTATCATTTTAGTTCTTTATCTCTACTTATTTTGTATCACCACTGACCTCTCTAATACTTCATAATATGGGTGAATTTACTCTTTTAAAAAATGTACTAATAAACAATCATAACTAATATTATTAGTATGTATTACACATCAGATATAAGTGAAATTTACACATATTATTAGTAAATTTCCTAATTACTTGTAATGTTAATACATTTTATTATGCAACTGATATTTTACAAGTTAGAATTTATTGGCACTTTCACTCATTTTATTAATTAGTAAATTATTTTACAATAGGGTCCAGTTAAGAAGAAATACTAAATTGTGTTTTAAGTGTGGTAAAGGTAATCATTTAATTAAAGGCTGCACATATCATGTGAAAAAAGATGTGTTACTGTTGTGGCAAGCATGGTACATGTATTTAGAAAATGTGTGTTGGCATAAAGGTAAAAGTGTTTTTATGTGGAAATCCTGTAATTTGGAAGTCAGGAAAAAAATGTATTAGTACATTTACTATAGAAGCTGAATATGTAGTATTAGAAATAGGGATGTTATTCAGCAAGTTCGAAAATGTATTTCCAAATTTGCATTTTGAAAGAAATAATATCAATTGTGACAATGAAGCTGCAAGAGCGTCAAGTAAAAACAGTAGTAACATCTAGGGCAAAACAAAGATATTGCTTATCATTTGACTAGACAAAAGATAGAAGAGGGACTAGTAGAAATTCAGTATGAGCCATCAGATGAGACTGTAGCTGATGTATTCACCAAAGTTTGTCATTTGTAAAGCTAGGAGAGCATGTAAAGAATTTAAAACTATGTGATTCAGTGCGAGCAAGGATCATTTAATCCCTGCTCCAACAGCAACTGACATTGGGAAGAAAGTATTAACATTAATCTACCACCAGATTATAAAATAGCATCAATGGATTTAGTGGCTTTGTTTCCTAACATTCCCCATTCTCATATAATATCCACTATATAACATTATTTACCAACGATAGAAAATTCAAGTCTTCTTAGTAGTCAAGTGTAGTCTATCTAATATTGAATTCTCTTAACATAATTATTTACCACCAACTTACAGGACACCTATTGGAGGCTCATTGAATTCCATTCTTTCTAATCTGTTATGTAGAAGTTGAAAGAAATGGTATAATTTTTGATAAGTATGTTTTTCTACAAAAAGTATGTTGATGACATAATAATCTGTGCCCGCAAAGATGACATTCTAAATGAGCTTAGTATGTTCAATTCCTATGATAGCTTCATCCAATTTACAATTGAAAAAAGCAATAAATCTATTGTGATAAATTATATCCCTGTTCACATCAAACATGAAAAGAGGAACATAGTAACAAATTGGTGTAGGAAAAGCAGTGCTTCCAACCATGTCTTAAATTACCTATCAAAAGATAAGATCAGCATTGTTTATGGCCTGGTGGACAGGGTCACAAAATTGTCTGACCCTATTCACTATGATTCTAATTAAGCAATAGTAAAATTCATTAATAGAAAACAATTATCTAATAACTTATATTAATAAATATATAAAAAAAGAGGAGAGCCAGTTTATTAGTAAAAACAAACAGCATGTCTGAACAAGTGAATTAGAGGAAAATAAGCCCATCATCTTACCCTATATTCCAAAGATTACTAATAAGATCAAGAAAAACTTAGCACAAGTCAATAGATATGTAAATACTAGACACATAATTACCAATAATAGAAATCTCAACAAATGTAAAAGACAAAATACCAAAATTAGAACTGGAAAACGTAGCTTACAGCATTTGGACTCAAGAATGTGAAAAGTCCTATTCAGGACAAACAAAGCTTAAAATTAAAATCAGAATAAAAGTACACAAGAACAATATAAAAGAAACTAAAGAAAAGCTTAATACGATAATTTATCACATTCTATTGACAGACAAGTGCATATTAGATAAGGAACCAAGATCGTATGCCCACATTATATCAGAAACACTTTTCATTAAAATTAACAATATGATAAATCTTGGTAAGCAATGAATTTACCATGGCAAATGGCCATGTTTCAAATAAAATTAAATGACCAGAACTTGTCGAGGAATCACATAAATGTTGCTGACTATTATTCTCTGTTGTTCAATTACCGAGCATTAAATAAGTTTCTTAATTCTTTGAATATTTACTTCTCATTAACCTCCAAAACTACCCGATCCATTTTTCATTATCATTTGTTGCTTCTATTTATAGATGCAACACGTCCTCTTAACTCCTGAAGGAGCGTTGAGCGCACCACTGACACCCTACAGGTGTTGGACTAGCACACAAATTTCACATCTGAGAATTCTACGGGAATTGAACACAGATCTCAGGGGTAAAAGGCAAGCGACTTCGCCACTGAGCCACAAGAGCATCCGTTTCCTCCTACATTCCCTCTCCCCTCCCCTCTCTTGGCTTCCTTCTCTCCCTTTCAACTGTAAGCTCCTCACCCCTTGCCTGCCCTTGTTACTTTGCATTCTGGCCACCACTGCCATCCAGGCCTCAATAGACCAAGACCTTCGATATTTTGGTCTTCCAATTAAAGCTGTTTTCAAATAATGTGTTGCCTTACACATTTAATATCAGGATAATTTATAAATATCACGTGCACAATATTGATAACTTAGTATAATATTTTGGGAAGGTGAGTCTTTCCTCGCTATGCTTTGTGCTTGAATGTTTTTTGTGTCTTATTTTAATTTGTTCAATTAGGTATTTAACACAGCTATAATTCATTCACAAAATGTTTCTGAAGAAGCGATGAAATGCATCACAAAATGTTGTACCTATATATGTAACAAAATCTTATAAGAATATAAATACTTTCAAGTGATTTTGTGAAATATATGAATAATTCATTTTGTGTGTGTTCTGCTTTAATACATGATTGTCTTTAATATAGAGATATCAAAGAAAAATAACTTTTTAGTTTTGTTTATAAACATTCTTCAGTTGCACAGTTTGAAAACTCAACATTCAAATTAAAATTTTAAGTCAAGAAGTTATTGTTGGTTGATTTTTTTGCAACTAATCTACAATCCTCGCATGCCAATTCTCACAAAATTTGTCAACACTGATCTTTTTCAAACTCATTCATTTCAGAACTACTTTTGGTGGAAGTACATAGGTTTGCAAGTTGATGTTTCAGTTGTTTTATTCTTCAATTGAAACTTGTCTTTAAAACAATATTGTGTTCAGTGTATTAATTGTATCCCCAAGGAAGGGCATTTACCCCTTTAGTTATCTTGCAGTAGACATTACTACGCACTAGACGGTTTCCCTGTAGTACATGATAACTAAGCCACCATGTTTTCATTTTTCTATTTTCAACAAAGCTCATGTAGCAAAATATTTTCTTTAATGCAAAAAACAATGAAAAAGAAGATTCTAAATTTAAATCAATACAAAAATTTCTAATGTAAATATTTTCTGAACTGGCAATTTTTATTTTCACAGGGGCGTAAGAAACTTGGGACAAAGATACTCTTTAATTTCAAATTAGAATTATCACTAGGGCTAGGATTTTGATAACCTAAATCTACATAAAAATGCCAACATATCTACTTAGTGATTTTGACACCGTAAAATACTTCTTTCTTCGGTTAAGCAAATAATTTCTTATGATAAAATATTTGGAATAAATTGAATGCTGTAAAGCCCAGTATACTAAACATAATCAGTTCACAAAACTGTCTATACCAAAGATATAAATTCTGAAGTTAAGAAATTACAAATTTATCCACTTCCTCTGGCCTCACACCATTGAAAGTCAAATACACCATGTTGACAGGATCAAGTTACTTTCATGCGGTAATTACAATGTTAACCCCGTTCACAGCGGTGGCATCTGACACCACTAGGGCACTACAATGTACATCAACAAATCTTTGTCAATACAAAACATTTTATTTACATTTTCAAGAACTTTTTAAATCAGTATTCGTAGTGAATAGTCATTGTATTGATTGGACTCTTATTCCTCCCTCAATTCATTAGCTTTAGAGAAAAAGAACTGATAGTCCTGAAACAATATTTTTGGTTTTCGATTTTCTGTATTATGCGTATGTAGCACTTTCTTTTGTAACTTTTGTGTTTTTCCTTTTAGCTGGACCTGTGCAATTACAACTTTAGCTCATCATCCATTCTACATAAAAGATAACATTAGATACACAGCTGAACTTATCAAATGTTCAGTTAAAATCCCTATTTGCGAAGTCAAGTGACTAACCTATTGTAATTTATGAAACTAAATCACATAAATGCAATAAAATATATGCAACAATACCTTAACATTATTTTGCATTTTCACTTTGCTTATATAAAACTTAAGAGAAATAAAATAAAGTACGTAGACAAGTTCTACCCTTCATTAAGTGTTTTAAACAGAACAATTTGACAATTAAAAACTTAAAATACAAAAAACCTCCAATATAAGTGTACAACAGAATTGGAACTCCAAATATAATTAAGTGTTCAATAATTACATCCATTCCAAATTACATTGTGCTTAATACTTGTCATGTGGAATCCAAGAAATAACTAAAAACAGAAATTCTTCCGAACATGTGATATTCCAATGTTGAACTATCACCAATGAAGGGTATGAAAGCAGTTTATTAGTACAGAGAAAAATATAAGAAGTAGAGAATAGAATGCAAACTATTAATGATATTATTTAACCAATGCGTTCATCAAAATCAAGACGCATGGAAACGTAACAGACCATGAACAAACCACAATCCATATCAAGCACATATGAATTTGGTAAAGAGTTCACAATAATGCCGAATTTCTTGATCCTTTACTGCCAGTAAAAACTTGCTCAAGAAAATAACACATCGCTAATTCCACAATAAAATAACTAAATCTTCATTTTGCTTTCTTATTTTTTAGAAAGTAATCACACTACTGACTACTATTAACTTCATTGCTTACCACTGGAACACTTGGCACCTCACTCACTGGCACACACCCACATACGCTCTTCACGTATCGACGAAGTGAAGAATCCATGAAGAACATAATTAAATGCACAAACTCCCTCTTCTAATTGATACCAATATCTCCAGATCTGCAAATTAACACTTATTCACTGGGGGAAACATTCCACAACATAAAAATCAATAGCAAAAGAAAACTTACCAATATACTTTTCACAAAGGTTCCTCATACAAGAGGAGCACTGAAGAAAGCTGGTAAATTATTAAATGTCTTTAGACCTAAATTCCATCACTTATTTGGTTCCATCCTTTGTAAAACTTATTTAGTTTTCCTCTGTATTCTTGTTTTACAGCACACATCGTAAAAATTGTAGTGTTAGGAGGAGGATACATTCTCCTCGTTGCCAAAAATGTTAAATTACATATGAAGAAGCAGTCTTCACTGATCAGATGTTTGGTAGAGCAAAATATACTTCGTTAACTCCCTATGTTCCTAAACAAAACAATTATCTGAATTCCACTTGAATAAAAATAATTTTTATTTCTGAAGCAGGAAACTCGTATGTGGTATATGTATAAATTAATCATCATAAAAGCACAAAGGTCACCAGTGTGTTCAATATATATCTCTATGATGGCAATTGGACAAACATTTTGGATTCTATTATATTTATTTAGTCAAAAAACAATAAAAAAAATTGCATGTGACATGAGGGGGGGGGGGGGAAGTATAATCTGTACACATTTTATTGAGCTCTAGAATCCCTACCCCACCCTTCTACTACATATAGCTGAATAATGAATAAAAGTACCGAAAAAGAGTGGCTATAATGTTACTATCATTATAGCAGTCTACCATCCTCAGTGACTATCAATTTGTATTTCTCCACCCAAACAGAAGAATAGTGTTATCTTCCACTTGTTATCAACTTTTTGAATACCTAACCTTAAAAGTTGAATCTAAATCCTTAAGTCCTCACTTTTTCCTTCCAATTTAAATGGACACTGTAAGTAAGTACCATTTTCTGAAGGCACTAAGCATATTCATTTTTTTTAAAATTTCAAATATTTTTATCACAAAGTCATATTTTTTCAATTCTTTCAATTAGTGAAATCACTGAAGTCAGGATGTATTAAATTATTGTTTTATTTTAGTAAATCACAGAACAGTGAACAAAAAATCATCTTTGAACTTGATTTGTGTTGGTTCGGTTTCTTAAAAGCAATATTGCATATTAAAAGAATGTTAGAAAAGGATGTTTTATCTCCTATCAAAAAATATTGAGTAGACATTTAACCAAATGTAAGAAACTTGATTTATCTCAAGGCAGCTCCACACATTTGGCATTTGCCAAGCAGCTCATCTAATTCTTAGCAGCTGATGTGTTCAGCGAATGGTCGCTCCCTTTGATGTGTCCGAAAGACTGACACACAGTGGGTAGGGCGAATACCAAACATTCAGCGATCAACAAATGGCAAGCAACCTGCCCACATTTCTTAGGGTTCGGGAGCAGTTGCTTGGGATTCACTGAATGCTGCATGTGTTGAGCCACCTTCAAAACGTGGTTTTTGAATTTGTTGAGATGCCTTGTATACTGATAATATTTAAAGAAATTACCCTTACCTGAGTGTCTATTGGATGATGCTCAAGTTCTTTTAGAAAATGTTTTTGAAGTAATTTGTCAATTTAATTGGTGCTAATTCACACATCCTGCATTTGCAGTAGAAAGTAGTTTATTTTATCAAACTACTCTACTGCTATTTAATGTGCCCCTTCAGTATTCTAATCGGTGTTGGTCCAACTTCATAGTTTATTCTATATTTTTGTATTTTCTGAAACAAAAATAAAATATACAGAATAGCACACATACAACACACATTTCTATTCACCTTCCCAAATCCTAACAAAATCAGTAATAAAATTGTTATTGAATAAATAACACGGTCATTTCCCCAAGAAGAATTCAAAATTAACAAAATGGTTTGAATTCAAAAACTTCTACAATGTTCAAAAGAAATAAGAAGCTCCACAATTCCATGTCTTTACAGAGTACTTTCAGGAAAAAAATTACCCCCGCCCCAATTACATTTATCACATTATCTCCTACAAAAACTGTCAAGTGAAAAATATTCTTAGCACGAAAAGATACAATCATACCCACTTCCCTGGTCCTCACTACCAACGACGTCCAAAACAACGTGATGAACACTTTATTGGTGAAATATATCTCTAATTATGGACCTAGGATGTTAACTCATAAAATTTTACATAATGGACACATATTATATCAACGTAGTTCTGTAAAGAGGTAAATTGCAATTCCACCTTTCGCCAAAATGGGATAATTTAAAGCACTTATTACAACGGCATTGGTGTATTTACCAGCGTATGTCCAAGACATTAATAACGAAATAAGAAACACTACAAACAACTTTACTTTGAAGAGCTTTTATTCAGAGAACAAAACACAATTTACTGCTCTTATGTAACACGAGGTAATATGCTGGGCCTACTTTCAAGATTCAGAAATATAATATAAAATGAAAAGTTTCTTACCACACAATCCATTCTTAGCTTTCTCGAATGTCGATCATCGCAAAGAACATTCTTATACGGGTTAATAATTCGTTTCTTCCACGGTGTAAGATTATACACCGTGGTTCTCTTCTCGTTGTTGTGAACACCATGCTGCATGTTCTTTCTGGAATAAGTATTCAGAAAAGAAGCCCAAATATTTTTCTAGACTGCCACAGTACAGCACTCTTCACAATTCTACTCTGATTCTACTGATTAAAAACACCATGCACCATGCCGCCACGCCCAAAGAGTATACATCCACACCCGCCACCCACCTGTCTTGCCGCGTTGCCGCCAATTGCTGCCTCAGAGCACTCATTCGTCTACTTAAAAAATATGCTTGCCGCCAACTTGCTGCGTCCGCGTGATTTGCTGTATGGTGGGAGATGGGTGGGCTCTTGTTCCCGCTCTTATGCATCGTATCTAACTTCAGCCAATGAGCTTCAGGCACCATTTTAAGTCACAATATTAGCGGAGTTTTTGAATTAAGAAATCATCACCGTTTCAAGTTATTGAAACAGTTATATGAAGCACGCAAAAAATATTTTATTTCAATTTTACCTTCATCGTTTTGTTTATGGTTGATCACCGTTGAAAATTGTCACTACGTGCCACTTTCAAAATGGTTCTCTACTCATTATCTACTACTCGCTACCAATCCCTCCTTTTTTTGCATGCATGGCCAAATTCCATAGCAATCATTAATTTAGAAATTTTAATGAAATACAAAAATTGATTATCCTACAATGGCAAATACAAAGACAAATTAATCTTCCCAGTTTGGCTACCATTCTTCCGGAAATCCGCCGCAATCTTGAACGTCGGCTAGTTTCTATTCAAGCTCCATTTCCAAAGAATTCGGTACACACCAATGATGTTTGCGTAGTCCACACACGTAATTATATTTCCTTCATTGTACACTTACTACCTTAAAACATAGTACATTTACTACTTTTACAAACTCACAATTCCATCTAATTCTTCTTGCAACCAAATAGCTTTCCTTTTAACATCTAACTCATACCGTGTCAGAACATCGTCTGCACCGTTTTTTTCATCTCGCGCGCCCTTTATCTGTCTCTCATCTGCGCGAAATTATACTCAAACACGTCTCTTCGTTTCTTTTATATATCTCCATAGTTTCTGTTGGACATATTTATAACTGCGTAAATTTATTGTGAAGGTAACAGAATTTCTAGGTCTCTCAATTCAGTGCAACATAAAATGGAATGTACTACATATAACAGAATTAAACACTAAATTAAATTAATTATGTTACGAATTCTGAATTCGTTCTGAATTCTCAATCAGGGTGTTGTCCAGTTTCCCTAAGACATTAAGCAAATGCTGAGTTGACCCCTTGATTTGCTTCTGGACATTAATGTAGCTTCACTTTGCGCACGTTTTGACGATCTCTCCTTTTGCTTGTAGTAGTAGGAACAGTGTGGGTGAGTTACTTGTTTGTTAGCAATGCAGAAAAATCTAATATAGAGTTCGCTAACCGATGAAAAATAGTTTTCTATAACTCGGAATGAAAATGTCTAGTTTTTGAAAAGTTGATAATCTCGCGTTTTTCGAATTTTAAACACTTTTAATCATCTTGCAACTATGCATGGTTAAAATGTTGGAAAGGGATTCTAGAACTTAAGAAAACGTGCGTAGTTCATCTTTCCATGTCACGTACGGTTTTTACTGTTTATTTACTAAATAAATCAAATCAAACCAAACCTATCACTCTCCATACAACATGGCGACCAACGTCTGGCATGTTGTGCGGTTTTTAATGTTTATTTACTACGTGTTTTCTACGATATCTTCTAAATTAATCAACGTAATATCATTTCCTTTTGGTGTCAGTACTAACATCGCACGTCGTCGAATCAATGATTTGATGATAATCAAGTTTTTTATCAGTATCATTCTTGATTCGGAATGATTCGCTTCCCATTTCAGATTCTATGAATAATACTACGTTTCTGGCTTCTGATATTTGATGGTTTTTAGATTTAGCGACATTTAGAATAACAGATGAATATGCCAGGTTTGCTTCTTTGTTACAATTTATTTGTATACGGTTGCGCGTTGCTATAAAACACCTTGGTTCCGAAAATTCTGAAATGTGCTATGTTGGGTTTCATTCTAGGCCATAACTCAATTGGTACTTTATTTACATTTATCGCTGTTGAAGTCACATTATTAGTAGATTGCTTGTTTATAGCTGGATGTGGAAGTCTCGTTAACTTTCCCATTACGCAGCTACCACAAAGTTTATTGCTAAAATAACTAATTTCTCTAATCCTCCAACCATATTTTTTCTTAATTTCTTCTTCTTTTAATTTAAATATTTATTATTTATATGACCGAGCCTTCGTACCAAATATATTGCGCATTCTTACGTCTTCCAAAATATTTCGACTTCATTAGTCCTATTTTTATATCTATTATCGGCGGTATCTTTGAGACGGGAACATTCATTCTCTTGTTTCGAGTTCACTTGCATTCTAAAAGTAAAATTTATCCCTTCAAATTCTTCTTGTGCAACAAGTGTACTTTCTATTGTATCATGTATCCTGGCCCCCTTTTTGTCCAATATTCTTTTATTTTCGATTCACTATAGTGGCCACCGACAATGAGTACGAATCTAGGTTAGGAACGCACAAAAGTCTTCTATTTTATTTTGTTATTATTATTGCTTTTTGTTTGGGTAACACCTTTGACGTTAGCGATAAATTGCAAGTGTATCATTCTTCCTGATTCCACCGTAGATATTTCGGTGATTTATGGTTTCTTACTGCACAAAACGCGTTCTTCGGATGTCATGTGGAAAGTACTAGTCGAGTCTAGCAAACAACTTGTCAATACGTTATGAATAGTAATTAAGCTTTGTTCCGTAATCATCATGACATATTCGTTTTTATTTCTTTTTCGTGTTCTCATCATTAATTCGTTTCGTGTTTCGATTCCCTATTAGCTTATGTATGTAATAGCGTTTCCCAGAAGTATGCCTTTGTGTCAAAGGTCACAAAGTACTACAGTTACGTTGAAGTTTACTTCCGTCGTTGCGATGCCAGCAATCTCGCATAATCACCTGTTTTTACGCAAACAAAACATGCTATCTTATTGCATCAATCTGCGAATGAATATGTTTTTTTTTCAAATCGTACTAGGTTCTCTCGCATCGTTTCAAAATTTATATCAGTGTAGAACGCCGTTGTGACTCAATTGAAATGTTTGGGGAGCGCGCCTAGAATGGAACGCACCAATTCGTCTTCGCCTGCCGGCGAGCCAAGTTCTTCCTTCTCGCGCGATGCAAGTGCTCTCGTCAGAAACGCATCTACACCTTCTGAATTGTTTTTCTATACGAACTACTCCCCTTCATGTTCCACAAGTCGTAATTGGTAATTGATAGTACCTCTATTTTTCCGTAGGACGCTAAGTTTACATCTGCCATTATTTTTCTTCCTTGAGCCAGTCAACCACGCTCTGCTACCAAATTGTGATTACGTCCTCCTTTCTATTTATGTATTTACTTTATAAAAGAATACACTATTTTGGGGGACATTAGAACGTGCATTTCCCAACATATACAATTAAACACACAATAATAGTTCTTCTATATCGTAAAGACACGTTCTAAAGCCTTGGCATAATTGGTTCATTCATACAATAAATGAATTAAATAAATTCAACCGAATATGTAGAACCATCAATCAAAATCTGAAAGCAACAAGCAAAGAAACCAGTCTCACATTCTATAAAGTAATGGCTATTCCCATGCTCCTGTACAGATCTGAGAACTGGACTTAACAAACAGCAGCTGGATGGCTGCTCCTGAAATTTTAAAAATTTGAACTTTTTCGGACATGAGGCAGGATTCACCCTCTAAGGTCGAAGAAAATGAAGATATACGTTAGGAAATAAATATCACTAGTATCCTCGATAAATTCGGAAGATGTAAAATGAAACATCTTGATAGAACGGAGGGTTTCCGCATTTCAAAAAAAATTCTCAGCTACAGGCCTCAAGCTAGAAGGGATGTGGGCCGCCCAAGGAAACACTGCTGGAGAGATCAATTTGAAATCCAGCATTAAAATACCTGAGACCAAAACAACCCGCTTGTTTTAATCACTGAAGTTGGTGATGATAAGGGGGCGTATTTAATAGAAAATGTCATTTTTTCTTTTCACTTTAGAACCATGTCTTTTAGTAGACACAATTTTATGTTACGACAAAAGGAAATAGCACATTTTTATATGATTTTTGTTTTGCATTTTTTTCTATTTCAACTATTTAGTCACTTTTACGTAATGATAATTATTTTAAAGCATTTTCGATGATTTCATTGATTTCATATTTCAGTGATACTTGCTTCAAATAATATTTACGAGACGCAACAAGTGTTCTCTACAGAATCCCAGAGTGGCTTTTTCGATTTCTTTGCTCAGAAATTATAACATCAACCTATGACGCCTAAGAGCGGCATTGTCGATTCGGCCTATTTCGGAATAACTAAAGTCAGAGATTTTCTGCTAAAGAACAGTAAAACCGAGTTGCAAGTTTGCAAACCGAGTTGACTTGAAGGAAAGGAAAAATCCTCGATTACATCAGTAACACATCCAATAGCTTGAGTTTTTCATCTAAACAGAAATTGATCAAAATTTCTTACGTCATTTTTCTTTGCTTCTAATGCATTATGCAAACATTTTAAGAGCATTTTATTGCTCCTTGTGGCGAAGTCCGATGGTGACGCTGAGCCCGGGGGGGGGGGCGGCGGGGCCCTCCCGGTGCAGGCCAGCGGCGCGGCGCCGCCCCGCGCTGCAGCTCCCGCTCGCCCGCGCAGCCTCATGACCCGGAAGCGATCGCCATTAGCACCTTGAAATTGGGTGAGCTGTGCTGACAGCTTATTGATCGGCCGTCATACGGGCGCGAGGGCTGGGCGCGACGGCTTGAGACAAATTGGGCGCGCAACGCCCGGGCCGACCCGCGCCCCGACCGGCGGGGCCACGGCGGCGGAGGCACAAACGCGGAGAGCTGCGGATTCGTTCATTGATCGATAGTGATTCCGGGCGCGACAACTGCTGAGGTCATTAGACTTGTAAGTGTAGTGCATGCTTTTTGCATGGGAGGTGGCGAATGATCTTCCCCCGCTGGATGGTGAGATCCTGGACCTACCGTCTGCTAGACGTGTTCTCCCCGACAAGGTATG